CGGTAGGTGTCGTCTCTTACTTCATCATAAATTCGGTAAGGGCCTTCCCAATTTGGGGTTAGCTTTCCCTACTCATTCGACCTACTGATTGCCTCCATTTTTCGTAACACAAAGTCCCCCACTTTCTGAGGACGCTTGTGTACTCTTTTGTTGTAAGCCCGAGTCATTTTCAGACAGTAAATCTCATGGCGCATGGCAGCATTGCCCCTGCGCTCTGGAAGTGAGTCCAATGCTAGCTGCATAGCCTCCCAGTTTGCCTCTTCGTCATACAACATGATTTGAAGAGTCGGCTCATAGTGTTCGATGGGCAGGACAGCTTGTGCCCCATACACCACAAGGAATGGGGTTTCTCCAGTTGCCCCTTTGGCGGTTGTTCTGATGGCCTAGAGAACGTGTGGTAATTCATCCGCCTAAAGGCCACCATCTCTCTCTATTTTCTTTTTTATCCCGTTTGAGATTAACTTGTTAAAGGCTTCGACCTGGCTGTTTGCTTGGGGGCGGCCGACTTATGCAAAGAAACTTGAGACCCCCTGGTCTCCCAACCAAGTCTTAAGCTGAGGCGTCTCAAACTGAGGACCATTGTCAAAAACAATTGACATAGGCACCCCGAAACGAGTGATAATATTCCTCCATATGAAAGAAATGACATCTTTAGTCTTTATGTTTTGACCACATCCGCCTCTACTCACTTGGTAAAGTAATCCACAGCTACCAATATATAGCGCTTGCCGCCTAGGGAAGTTGTGTAAGGCCCAAGTATGTCCATGCCCCATTTAGCAAAGGATATTGGGTTGTGGATGGCCGTCATGTCTGTGGCCGGACGATGGATAAGCTTGCCAAACTTTTGGCACTTGTCACATTTTTTACCATTTCCATTGCATCCGACTCTAGAGTCGGCCAGAAATAGAGTCGCCTGGCCTTGGCAGCTAAGAACCTGCCGCCTATATGGGAGGCGTAGAAACCCGCATGCAAATCTTTGAGGACTTCTTTACCCTTCTCTAGGGTAACACACTTAAACAGAGGTTTCAAAAAACCATTCTTGAAGAGTTCTCCTTGTCTCAACTCAAAGTTTGTCGCTTTCTTCTTCAGAACAGCCGCCTCCTGGGGCAAATCAGAGAGCGTGTCGTCTGCTAGATAGGCCCAGATGTTGTCCATCTAGGTTGGGCTTCGATAGAGAATTCCAATGGGGTCTTAATTAGATATACTTATCTTTTCCATGTCCTCCCAGAAAACTGACCGAGGCATTTAACAAGAGGCGGATGATGCCAGTTTGGACAGAGCATCCGCCTGATTGTTTGAAGACCTGGGCACTTGACTTAGATGAAACTCCTCAAGTGTCCCGACTTCATATTTGACCACCTGCAAATATTTTATCATGGTTGGATGAGTGGCTTCGTACGTTCCATTGACTTAGAGTACGACCAATTGGGAATCAGAGCAGGCGTCAATTTTCTTTGCCCCTGCCGCCTTGCAATACCGAATTCGAACTAGTAGGGCTTCATATTCGGCCTCATTGTTAGAGACCTGAAACTTGAACCGTAGTGCATATTCGTACTTATCTCCCTCGGGAGATTGACAGATAATCCCTGCACCACAGCCGTTCGTAGTGGAGCTCCCGTCCACATACACTTTCCAAACCTGGCTAATATTGTTCGGTGAACCTGGCCTTGTCATTTCAACAATAAAGTCGGCGAATGCTTGCCCCTTTATTGCCTTCCTTGGTTCGTAAATGATTTCCAATCCTTGTATTTCAATCGCCCATTTGAGCATTCGTCCAGAAGACACCAAGGTTGTGAGTGGCCGCTTGATTGGTTGGTCAGTATAGACTACTACCGCATGCGCCATCCAGGAAGTAAGGTTTTAGCTTCTTGATGGCCATGTAAAGGGAAAGGCAAAAATTTTCAACCATGGGGTACCGAAGCTCTGCGTTCCTAAGAACATGGCTAATGAAATACACCTAGAGCTGGATGCCGTCTCTTTCAGCTAAGAGGACGACACTAAGAGCATGATTTGGGATGGCCAGATACATGAAGAGCTTCTCTTTGGGCAAAGGGCTAACAAGCCTCGACAAAGAGTGTAGATGAGTTTATAGCATTTGAAAAGCCACCTCTGCATCATCTCCCCATTCAAAGTTGGTCTTCTTCTTGATTGCCTGGAAGAAGTAGAGACACTTGTCACCTGACTGACTGAGGAATCTCCCCAAGGCCGCCAGAAAACCTGTTAACTTTTGCACTTCCTTCACAGTACGGGGCGACTACATGTTGATTACCGCCTGTATTTTTTTAGGGTTGGCCTCTATTCGCCTTTGGTCAATAAAAAATCCGAGAAACTTCCCAGACTCAACACCAAAGACACACTTTGCTGGGTTTAGCATGACCTTGTGTCGCCTGAGTGTGGCGAATGTTTCTTAGAGATCAGCAAGATGATCCGCCTGTTGTTGGATTTGACTATCATGTCGTCAATGTACGCCTCTACATTCCTTCCGATTTGATTAATGAAGATCGTATTAATCATTCTTTAGAAAGTAGCAGGCGCATTCTTCGAACCAAACGACATCACCGTATAAAGGAACAACCCCTGATCAGTGACGAATGATGTCTTTTCTTGATCTTTTTTCCACAGGGGGATCTGGTGAAAACGTGAATAGGCATCCATAAAACTCATCAGGGCATGTCCGGTTGCTGAATCGACCAGACTGTCGATCTTAGGCAGTGGATAGCTATACTTTGGACATGCCTTGTTGAGGTCTGTGTAGTCAACACACATGCGCCAAGTTCCATTCGGCTTCCTTACTAACACAACGTTTGCTACCCACTCAGGGAAATTGCATGGACGAACGAACTTGGTGTCCAACAGCTTTTTTACTTCGGGGGCTGCTGCCCGACTTCTTTCCTTGTCGTGGTTTCTCTTCTTTTGCCGAATGGGCTTCTTTTTGGGATCCACAGCGAGTTTGTGGACAGCGAGATCCGGGATGATGCCTGGCATCTCTTCCACTTCAAAGGCAAAGATCTCTTTGAATTCACTCAGCAGCTGATGCAGGCTCTCACCCAGCTTAGCAAATACAACCGTCCCCACCTTAACCGTCCGCTGTGGCCGATTGTCGTCCAGAGGGATATCAATGTGTTCGCCGGCAGGCTGGGGACGAAGATCATCTTATCGTTCCCCGGTCAATGATTTCTATTGCTTTTCTTTTTTAACCACCACCAGCTGCTCAGTCTTTCTTTTCTTACCGACTGGTGGGGCCGAATGTTCTTCCTTGACATCATCAAGGTCGATTTGTCTGTTTGCCCCTGCCGGTTGCTGCGGCCGCGGGCTTGACGTCTGAGAGATAACACTCTCGAGCTGTCTTCTAGTCCCCATTAAGGGAACCGACTGTTCCATCATCCTTCTCATACTTGAGCAGCATGAGAGCAAGAATGATGACGGCCTTGCACTCGTTGAGAGTGGGTCGGCCAAAGATGAGGTTGTAGGCTGTGAGCTCTTTAACCACTAGGAAACGGATGGTCATGATCCGACCGTCTCCTTTATTCCCCAGGCGGATGGGCAAATCAATTTGTCCGACTGGGTGAACAAGTCCTCCCCTAAACCCAACAAGGGTGTGAGAGACATCCATCATGCTATCCAGTTTGTACTTGATATTGGACAAGCATTTGAGGCTGATGAGGTCAGAGGAGCTTCCTGTGTCAATTAAAATTTGACCAACCAATTGGTTGGCCACTTTGCATTCAATGACCACAGGGTCATCATGTGGCCGACGGACTTTGCCTCTGTCCTCTTCGGTGATGATGACTTTTGGGAAGGCGGATGTGCTTTTCGCCTCTCCTTCTTCAAAAGAATTGACCATCTTTCTCAGATGGTCCTTGGTGCCTCTAATGGTCGGGCCACCCCCTGCAAATCATCCTGCTATTGTATATACCGGATCTTCATCTGTTTCGGCAGTAATAGCAGGTTGGGGAGTATTCTTCTTGGACTGCCCTGGATTTTCCTTGGAAGTCACTTTGGACTTCACATAGGAGTTTAGTTGTCCCTTGTCGGCTAGGCGATCAAGCTCCCGCTTGAGACTGAAGAAGTCGTTTGTGTCATGGCCGACATCCTCATGGAAGTGATAGTGTTTGCTTTTGTTCCGATTTTCAGCGGAACCTTTCATAGGAGTCGGCTTCTCAAGAGTCAGCCGATCCTTGATCTCCAAGAGGATGGAGTAGCAGTCCTTGTGGAACTCGTACCTGGGTACGTACGGCTTCCACTCTTTTTTCTTCTTTTAGGCCGGTTGATTAGAGTTATCAACGGCCCAGATTTGTTTTTTCTATTTTCTCTCCTATCACTAGTACAAAACTAGCCTCAAGTAACACCCAAAAAGTGTTACATAAAGTGGTAAAAGTGTTATTATAGACATTAGGTAACAGTTTATTGGGTGATACTTTCGCCCATGTTACCTAAGATCTTATGTAACACTTTGGGTAACGTATGGTAATACTTTCAAAAGTGTTACTATAAATCCTCTTATGTAACACTTTTTATATTATAAGTATCATTTTTAAAGTGTTACTTTTTATTTCTTACGTAACACTCACTTATCTTTAGTAACATTTTTCAATCATATAGTATCATTTTATCCGACATTAAGTATCACACGTTTTCAAACTAATGTAACACTTTATTGATTATTAGGTAACATATTTCAATTATCTTTTAACATGTAATAACTCTTTCTTTGACATTATGCATCACTTTTTACAAACTAATGTAACAACTTTTTTTTTTTTTTTTTTTTTTTTTTTTTTGAGGAAAATGTAACACCTTATTTATTAATAGGTAACATTTAATAATAATAATAATAATAATAATAATAATAATAATAATAATAATATTATTATTATTATTATTATTATTATTATTATTATTATTATTATTATTATTATTATTATTATTATTATTATTATTATTATTATTATTATTATTATTATTATTATCTACAACAACTATATGAATCAGAAATTACATATATGATAGACATCAATTTGGATTGAAATAATTTCATAGTTCTTACAAAAAAAAAATCCATACACCTATTTTAATGTTTGGCTCAACAATATAATAATCCAAACAAAAAGAAAATCAACTTCGATCTCTAGCATAGAAAGAGTGAGGAAATAAGAAAACTTCAAATTTTCAAAAATTAGTCGGTGATAGCGGTGAACAGCAGATAGCTAGCAGAACAACAGCAGTAGCAACATAAGCTACGAGCAGCAGTATATAGCACCAAACAGCAGTAGCAGACACTGGTGGCAGCAACTAGCAGTGGCAACAAACAGTAGTAGCAGACAGCGGTGGCAGCAACCAGCAGTGGCAGCAAACAACAGTAGCAGGAGTCAGCAACAGACATCAGTGGCAGTAAACAACAGCAGCAAAACATCAGTAACAACAGCAGTAGCAGCAGCCCGCTCTTATTGTTGTGGATGATGCAGTTTGTGGTGCATGGGGCAGGAGTGGCTGCTCCTAGGGAGGTTCACAACATCCTCTCCTTTTTATCATCTTCCTCAACTTTCTTTGCAAGCTTGTCAAATCTTCTTATTCCTACAAGCATGAACACAAACACACAAAAAACGCAGCAATGCCAAAATACAACTATATACAAGAGAGTTAAGAGAGAGGAGAAAAGTAGGAGAAATGATTATAAAAGCGGTTAGGATTACCACAATAAGTGGACAAATAAACCACTTATCAATCATGAACCAGTCATGTTTAGCTTGCTAGTGAAACATAAGAGAGGTACCAATGCACGAGGAATGAACAAGTAAAGAAAGAAAACAGAAGTACCTTTTGTGGCGGTATTTTTTAGTTCTTTTTAAATCATCAAAAAAAGGGATTCACTGTTCAAACGCATAAACGATTTGCCCTCTTACATAGCATCAAGTAAATTGTAGACATTCTGAAGAAAAAAAAAAACGCTAAATAGCCAACTTCTAATATATTAGACAAATGAAAAATAGACCTAATTAAAATAAAGCATCCTCGTGATCAAACTTCAGTAACAGCAGCTCTTTCAAGAAACTAAGAATTAAATCTATGCACCAATAAAAAAGAAATAGGGAAAGCAAAACTACCAATAATTCTTGCAAGTATCTCTACTGATCATAACTTCACTATATTACTGGAAGTTAAAAGCAATTACCACATGATCAACCTTCTATCCCATTAATTTTCACTCATAAGCTTTATTAGTATTGTGAACAAGTCAAAATTAGGCCACATGATTGGGGAAAAAAAAACACATTTTAGATCATTATTTGGATTCATATTGCTATGTAGAGAAGCATTTTGCAGTGGCAAGTTGGTTTTATTTAGTGAAGATAAAAAACTATGAGGTCAAAGAAGGAAGTTAACTATAATCTCAAGGGTAACAATGGCTCCAAAATTGGCACTCACAAAATAAAAGTTAAATATGTATATATCAATGTTGCATCGTAAAAGTTTAAACTAAAAGATGGTGAAAGAACCCTGAATTATTACATGCATTTTGTTACCTATTTAATCAACTAACAACTCCTAACCTAACTTCTCATTCTTCGTTTTGCAAAATATAGTTTTAGATACATTTCAAGGACTAAATCTTCCACTTAAAACAATCAACATCTTAAGATTGATTGCAATTTTGATATAAAAATAAGTGTGAGTTTGTTTTACTTATGACATAATACTATTTGTTACTACCTCCGTCCCCAAAAGTTCGACCCTTTTGGCCTAAATTTATTCCCAAAATGATCGACCCATTTTCATTAAAAATACCTACCAATTTGCATCAATATTTGTACAAAACTAGCTTCTCCATATAAAATTTTGTTTTTCCATATAATTATATAACTCTCTGTTTATTTTTTTTTTACAAACCCCGTATAAATTTATGTTTCTAATATATTTTTACTTCTTTTTATTTAACTTTCTTAATACTCGCAAAATCAACCCAAAAGGGTTGTTCTTTCGAGGACGGAGGGAGTATGATAAATGTGTATTATGTATTCCAAAAGATTTGAAAACTATTAAATAGACTTTGTCCAATTTTACATCTAAGTTAGATCTAATAAAGCGTGTTGTTATTGAATCCGCCTCCTAATGTATTAACCTGCTGCCTGCATATTAACACTTTCTTATACATCAAAGCCTTTTTTTTTAACTTTACATAGTCCTTTAAAACAAATGTTGATATAATTTCCCAAGTCCTACACACTCTGCACTTCAATTAGAGACCTTTTCCTACTTACAGTATCTAATTTTGAGAAAACATTAAATACAAAACCAAAACACTTAAATTCAGAATCAACAATCCAAACTCCAATTACCGATCAAGAACTCACAAAATAAAATTTATAAAGAATTAACACTACTTTAAACACAAAGCCAATAACCGTTCAAAATCCAATTAAAAAATAGCGATAATCTAGATTGTAATAATTATTAGATTCTTGAAATCACAAATCAGAAAATACCTGAACTTGGACGCACAATGACGAAAGTGCACAAAAATAGCAGAACATCGCAATGATAGCAGATGATGTTTAAAAATTGATCTGATGAAGAAGCAGAACAAAGTTTAGAGAGACTAAGAGAGAAAATAGCTGATGAATTTGCACCTGGAATTCACCATTTCAATTGTTTATTATAATTATAATCTAGCTTATAAGAACCCTAAATTAACTAAATGGAAAATTAAACTAATGATAAACCCCAGATTATGGAATTGATATTCGATTGTTACAAATTACAATATAGCTCATACCTTAGAAGCTGCTTCAAAGGAGGAAAGAAAGTTAAGAATTCGTTTCAATGGAGGATTTAGAGTGTGCATATCAATTGAGGAAAGAGATGAGATTAAAACGATGGGAGGAGAAGAGTGTTGATAGAGAGACAGAATGATTTGAGGCGTAGATTAGTAAATTGGGGATTAGTCAGTTTTTAAGTCGTAAATGTTTTTTCTTTTTTTTAAATAAAAAAACATAACACCTATTAGTGTTACTAACAAATGATACTTATTTTAAAACTGATACATTATATTGTTACTTATGCAAAAAGTGTTACAATGAGTGTTACATTCTACAACAATGTTATCAAAGTGTTACTTATAAAACTAATAACTTCACATTTCAAAAAGTGATACCAACACGTGTTACATAAACTCAATTATGTACTTGTGTATGGCTTAGGAGCCGGCTGAGCAGGCCGACTCTCTTTCTGTCGGTCGGACTTCTTAGAGTCCGACTGCTTGCTGGAGGAGCAGAGTTCGGTCGCTCGCCTCTCGTAATGCTCCTAGCAGAGTGAAAATTTGTTTGCGGATGAGTTCGTACTTGAAAGTAGACCCGTCCTTCAGACCCTTGAAGAATTCTGTGAAGGCAACGTCATCAGACAGCCCATGAATCTGGATTTGCACCAGATTAAACCGCCTGACATAGGAACGCAAGCCTTCTCTATCTCCCTGTCGTACATTGCCCAAATCGAGGCTTGTCTTTTTGGCAGGGATGTTCATAGAGAAGTTTGAAGCAAACAAGAACGCAAGCGTCTTTAAGCTATTAATGCAACCAGCCGGTAGATTGCCAAACCACTTTTGGGCTATGCCCTTCAGGGTGGCTGGAAAACAGCGACACCATGCGGCATCATCCAGCCCTTGTAAATACATGAGGAGGGTGTATGCTAGCAGGTGGTCTTCCGGGTTGGAGGTCCCATCATAGGTCCCAACCAAAACATTTTTAACCTTGGCCAGCTGTTAGGCTTTGGTTATTTCCCTGGAGAAAGCAAAGGGCTGATCTCCAAGGTGTTGCAGCCTAAGCTGCCAATCCATCGGCTGATAGCCGTATGCTGCCTGGCCTTCAAAGAGGGCAGGCTGCATGTAAGGTAAAGCAGGCGACTAGTACAATGGTGGAGCCATGTACTGGGCCGACTGTATTATATGAGGCCCAGACTGAACCCGAGGGCTGCTTGCTAGGGTCTCATGTATAGATTGGGAATATCTCACAGAGGTATTCCAAAATCTATCATGGTAGGTCGACGTAGAAGCCGACTCTGATAGTTGGGTTCTCTTCGCTCAATGTAATGCCGAGCATCGGAGAATATTTTTTTGCTACCATTCGGCTTTATGTGCCGAATGGATTTTCTTGTACCCTTTTCAAGGAAACGGAGTCTAGAGGGGTCAAATTAGGGCCGAGCCTTCTCCTTTGGGGTAAGATGAGGAGTCGGCTGGCGGTCCCTGACCGACTTTTATTTACCAGACTGGGCTGGCTTCTTGGCCGTTGCTCCTTTCTAGGAGTAGGCGACTTCTTGGTGGCAAGCTGTTTGATTTCACCCCTGAGACTGCTCAGGAGTTTCATGAGTTCATCTCGGGTGACGGGGGTTGATAACCCGGCCGCCCTGAGGGCTTCTTTGGCTGACTAGCAGCTTTACTTGGCCCCGCCTAATCATGGTGACGCTCCTGCTTTTCTTTAATGCGGATGCGTCTAGAGATGAGGGACCCGTTAGGATCCACATAGGCTTCGACATCACCGTCGTCCCCTGAGTCATGGTCCGTCTGGACCACTATGTTCTCAGGATTCTGTACAGGTTCTTGTGAATCCTTCTTAGTGGTACTCTACCCACAGACGGCGCCAAATGTTTCAGGGTTTTTTGTCCCTCAGGAGAGTTACAACACTAAGACTTGATCCAGCAAGGGTCGCCTGTACCTGCAAAGCAAACGGACCGCTGGATGGTCGGTGGTCTGCCTCTGAAGATTAAGTTAGTAAAGTATTCAGAGTAAAACGTGCGGAAATAAAGTTATTTGCTTGGATTCCAAGTTCGGGTAAGGTGTTGTCTGTTTCTTGAGAACGACAGCTCTGTAATAAATGTGGATGTGACGTGTTGTCTCGTGTTCCGTATTCTGTCCCATTAAATAAGGGAATTGTCCCTATTTATAGGGTCTTTTGGGAAAGCGCGCCCTCCCTAGGGTTTGCTGACGTAGGATTTAGGGCACGCCGCAAAACGGCGCCTCAAGGTTTGGGCCCTTGAAGGACGCCATTTCCGAGATGATATCTGAGTGTTACGTGTCACTAATCCTAAAAAGCCTTTTGGGCATCTCTTAGAATGACATGTGTTGCCCTCCTAATGGTCCAGTTTAGATCATCAAACATCCCAAATCAAGGGGATATCTGCCTACCACGTGTCACCATCTTGGAAGGTCCGAGGTGGCGTTTCTTCCAGCGACACGTGGAAGGCTCTGATTGGGCCACTTGGTCGGGTATAAAAATACCCAAATCAGTGTGTATATGACATCTTTGCAAGGTAGCCATACGTTGTCGCCCATGTCGCGGTCGATCAGGACCCTTAGTTATGAACCCATCGGGGATGTCAATTTATGTATGCTAATCGTTATGAACTTGACATCTTAAGACTGGCCGGTTAACTTGAAGATTTGAAGTCGCCCTTGTCGCGATGAGTCAGGATCCTTTGTTATGAACTCATCGGAGACGTCAAGTCATTTATGCCAGTCGTTATGATCTTGACGTCTTTAAGACAGGTCTGATAACTTGAAGATTTGACGTCGACCTTGTCGCGATGAGTCAGGACCCTTTGTTATGAACCCATCGGAGGCGTCAAGTTATGTATGCCAGTCGTTATGATCTTGACGTCTTTAAGACAGGTCTGATAACATGAAGATTTGAGTCGCCCTTGTCGCGATGAGTCAGGACCCTTTGTTATGAACTCATCGGAGACGTCAAGTCATGTATGCCAGTCGTTATGATCTTGTCGTCTGTAAGACAAGTCTGATAACTTAAAGATTTGAAGTCTCCCTTGTCGCGATGAGTCAGGACCCTTTGTTATGAACTCATCAGAGGCGTCAAATCATGTATTCCAGTCGTTATGATCTTGACGTCTTTAAGACAGGTCTGATAACTTGAAGATTTGAGTCGCCCATGTCGCGATGGGTCAGGACTCTTTGTTATGAACCCATCGGAGATGTTAAGTCATGTATGCCAATCGTTGTGAACTTGACATCTTAAGACTGGCCTACTCGAAATTCCAATACGAGATTTCCTTCATGACATACTCATTATACATGTGCCATGTCAAACACTCTAACGTTTGTTTTTTATTTTTTTAGTCTTTGATCATGGACAAAGTGCACGTAGTGGAATTCAATGAAGATTCTCGATCATATCTTTCTCTCTCCGACCAAGAGGGTGACAACCCTAAGACTGGCACGTGTCTACAAATTCGACAATCATTGAGGCGGCCTAATGGCATGCAAACAAGTATTTGTAAGCAAAATTTCCACAATGACATGTCTGTTGATATTGCTAATGTCTCTGACACCACAAAGGTTTACAAGCTCCAAGACACCCTTCAGAGTAGAACTGATATAACTTACTTCCCTTATTGGGTCGTTCCATTATTGAAGGGTCCGTGAGATGGGGATCCGCTGCTCTAAAGATGTATGGTGAATCATGCTTCATCCTAGGCTATCGAGAGTGGGCTGAGGACGTTCTCTGTCGCTCGAGGGAAAATCTGAAATCCGCATCAATCTACAATGCTGTCCATGCCTCACTTTACTCCTATGACAAAAATTCGCATATTTTACGAGCATTGTGTGAGAGTTAGTGCCCTACCACAAACACACTCCATACAATGGCAGGAGAGTGGTCCATTTCACTGTGGGATTTTCACAGACTTGGTGGCTTACCTATTTATGGGGAAATTTATGATAAGACTGTCCCTCATTTTGCGACCCTAACAGCAACAAATGAGGACAACAAACGGTACATTTCGAAGGCTTGTGAGCATTTGTTTGTTACTTATCATTGCCTTTACAAAGAATCGGGCTCAAGGAAGGAGGTTCCAGCCAAAGAATGGATTAGATTTTGGTACCAGAAGAAAATTCGCTATGTTACGCCGCCAAAGAAGAAAAGATATCTCTTGACTCCTCCACAATCTACACATGACCCTGACAGAACGTTACCAGACGTACCTACAGCGTGGATAAATGAAGAATTATCCATGTTTAAGCGTTTAGGCCTTCCCGATAACAATAGAAGGGGAATAGCCTATACTGCTGCTTTCTTGTCTTGTTGGTTATGCGCATTTGTACTTCCAAAGTGTGATAGTAGATCGATAAGACCTGCGACGTTTGAGATCGCAACCTTGATGGCTTGTGGTAAACCGTTCAGCTTGGCAGTTCCTGTCCTGAGAAGCATTTATCATGGTCTGAACAACATTTCGAGGTCTCCCAAGCCTTCTTATTCTGGTTCATTCTTCTCGGCTCATTACTTGTATAGTTGGCTCGCATACTATTTTGGAATTCATCACAATTTGGATTTAGCTCTCCCAGGCTCTTTAATGACTGTATTCTCGGGTTCTCAATGTTCAAAGCATTTTAAGGATAAAGAAGCACGAGATCTGATACATGAAGGGACCATAGCGAGGGTTGGGTGTACCGTGCCGAATAAGAACAAGAACATCGCTTTGTTTGATGTTGGGAAGCTCGAGATTCCACAGTTTGGCTACCTTATCTCCCTTCGCTCGAGATTCTTGTACGCTCCGGTGACAAATTTTTCATAGAGCCTTACAATCCTCATCGATTTAGTAGACAATTTGGGTTTTGTCAAGATGTTCCTGGTATGCTTACACGTGCCATAGATGATCGTCAATCTGTAGGCTATTATGAAGCTCTTCGGCATTGGGACTTGATTTTGTTTTGTGACAGTCAATCCCAGGTGTTGAATCCTTGTCTTTCCCTGAATTGGCGTGACCTTGAAACTCGGGCTTTTCGGTCTTGATGGTCTAAAGTGACAGTTAATGACCTTAGAGACAAGGTTGACGTTCTTTGCGTAAGTATTGAAACTGATCCCAACAAGTCTAGGAAGAGCCAGGAACATGCTTGTGACATAAGTGCTCCTCGACCAAAGACCAATGCTGGTGGTAAAAGGAGTCATGAGCCTCTGTCCAGACAAGGAAACTCTAAATCGATGACGGCTAGAGATGTC